CAACCTACCTCACAAAGACAGTTCACTAGACACCATACAACCTACCTCACAAAGACAGTTCACTAGACACCATACAACCTACCTCACAAAGACAGTTCACTAGACACCATACAACCTACCTCACAAAGACAGTTCACTAGACACCATACAACCTACCTCACAAAGACAGTTCACTAGACACCATACAACCTACCTCACAAAGACAGTTCACTAGACACCATACAACCTACCTCACAAAGACAGTTCACTAGACACCATACAACCTACCTCACACAGACAGTTCACTAGACACCATACAACCTACCTCAAAAAGGCAGTTTACTAGACACCATACAACCTACCTCACAAAGAAAGTTTACTAGATACCATACAACCTACCTCACAAAGACAGTTCACTAGACACCATACAACCTATCTCACAAAGAAAGTCTACTAGACACCATACAACCTACCTCACAAAGATAGTTTACTAGACACCATACAACCTTCCTCACAAAAACAGTACACTAGACACCATACAACCTACTTCACAAAGACAGTTCATTAGACACCATACAACCTACCTCATAAAGATAGTTTTCTAGACACCATACAACCTACCTCACAAAGACAGTTTACTATACACCATACAATCTACCTCACAAAGACAGTTCACTAGACACCATACCACCTACCTCACAAAGATAGTTTACTAGACACCGTACAGCCTACCCCATGCAGAGTTCTCTAGACACCATACAACCTTCCTCAATAAGATAGTTTACTAGACACCATATAAACAACCTCGTACATACAGTTTACTAGACGCCATACAACCTACCTCACAAAGACAGTTCACTAGACACCATACAACCTACCTCACAAAGACAGTTCACTAGACACCATACAGCCTACCTCACAAAGATAGTTTACTAGACACCATACAACCTACCTCGCAAAGACAGTTTACTAGACACCATACAAAATACCTCACAAAGACAGTTCACTAGACACCATACAACCTACCTCACAAAGACAGTTCACTAGACACCATAAAACCTACCTCACAAAGATTGTTTACTAAATAACAACAGCAAGATAACTATGTTATATCAAAATCTTTACTGTGATCATTTCGAATAATGTATTCATTGTAACTAATATGTTACCCGTTGTACTGGTTATGCTTAGGGACGTTCCTTGCACCTATTACAAATACACTTACCTCACTCTATAAATAGTTTTATAAGATCTTCTTTATTTCCCAAGGATTTCCCTATATTTAACGGGTAAGAACAAGTTCATAATAAACGGATAAACAAGCTGGGATTGAATCACCAACATTACATAACAAACTTAACGGAGAGTTTTAGGCATTGGCATACGGAGATGTTTTGCAATCCTGGATAAAGTTTTGCACCTAATTGCTGGATGCCTCAGTTTCAGCGACGATTAAAGTGACGGGAAGTATGTCAGTAGAATTGAAGTTTTGTACTTAAGTACTCCTCTTTGTGTTATATATTCTCGGTCATGACCTATCAAACCTATGACAGGCCACCATAAACACCGTTACATAAATAGGTGTCACACATTGAAACATTCTCCTATTGATAGCCAGGTTGACATTGAGTTCGATCGTACGACTGACGAAGGTCACAGCGACATTTTTGTGGGGAACCAGTTCCGCCTGCTCGGAATGGTTAACACCGAATTGACAGTTTCCTTTAGACAGTGATTTATCCTTTGTTTTCATGCTGAACATTTTAAAACAGTGTTCGTTATAAACACGTCCGGGACTTTCAATAAACGTGGTCAGATTGATTTGATGTGTGGTCACCCTAACTAATCGTAGGACCCAGTGATTGATGTTCAATGATTCTGGTTAAAGCGTGGAGTATTGTATAACTCCATCCAATTTTGCCCGTCAATCACTTTTCATAATAGTTATGATGTCAACGTTTTCGTTCTTTATTTTTCGTCAGTTGATCAGAAGTTGATAAAAAAAAAATGCTAAATCTGCTATCGAAAAAGATTATGTTAAAACAATGTATCATAAGATTTTAGAACCAGCGCTAAAGTGTTCAAGCGTTAGTTCTGTTTGGTGCACTAGTATGCCTCCATTACATAATATCCTATATAACTGTCGCATGATTTATCAAACGTATCTATCGTCAAAACATCAGAGTCGAGTGTCAAGAAAGTTATGCAGCAAAATGGTTTTTTTTTTCGTTTCTGACATGTAAATTAAAAATGCAAAAAATCACAAATATTCCTGAGTAACTATTTTTATTCTTGAAGAAAGAATACAAAAACGATGTGTTGCATTTAAGACACTATGTAATTCAAAATCACCAACGGCTAAACGGTAAAATATTTTTGCAATTTCTTTTAAGTTTACTTTCTTTGGTAGCAGGTTTTGGTATATAAAGAATTTGGAAACATGCCAAGAATATTTCAAACACATTCTACGTGGAAATATGCCGGAAATTTAGATAACTTTGTCCGTAAAGTAAAATATCCTTTGTACCATGTAATTAATCAAATACCAGTATTAAGCATAAGAAGATGTTATTTTGAAAATATATGGATTATAAATCGATGAATAATAGATTTCGAAAAAAGTACATGTAAGTTGTTAAAACATTTTTCTCACCACAGAGAAAGAGAGTGAACCCCATTAATGAGGAAGTACACATTAAATGATGACGTACATCTCCTTAATCGTGGTTGAATCCCCGGCATAATACATCTAAGTCAACTGGTTCGCCCGTTGTCAGTATAATGCGACCGGTGAGGTGTCCTGCTGGGTGTCTTCGGCAGTATGTTTCAGTGAGGTAGCACTATAAAGTCGGCATCAGTTCCGCGATATCACAAGGAGACAAACACGAACATATCGCAGCCTCCCAAGACATACACGCATACACTACACACACGAATCTTGCATACAGGGGAGGCCGTCCTTAAATGACCATAGCTGTTGATAGGACGTCAAACAATACTAAATCAAACCAAACCAAACTAATAAATGTAAGTATGTTTATTGATACGGTTGCTAATTGTAATAAGGCTTAGCACAAATCTATGTCTTATTCCACTTTCCATTTATTTAGTTTATTTGGCGTTTATCTTCTTCTTTTGAAAGATGGACAATTTGTTCTGCTACATCATTGATGCGATTGTATTAAGTAGACACGGGTATGATGCGGGGCAATACAGTTTGAACTAAGGATCCGCAATTGATGTTCATTGTTTATACAATCCAACTTGTATAAATATATTGAAGTATATTTTATGTTGTAAAGTTAATACGTTTTATAGGCCAAATAGCCAGAAGCAAAAATAAGATAGTTTGATTTCTGATTCATTCAAAAGGTGTACAAAAACATGGTTTTCTTTTTCGAAAACAAATGTGAAATGGAATATTTTTATTTTGAAGATAAAACTACATTGATCCATAAAGATAAATGGACGCCTCCATTAAAATGTTAATGAAGTCTACATTAAAAGTTACATCGTTTGAACATTTCCTGTACACTGTGTTTGCTAAGTCAAGCGTTTCATAACGAATATCTGGCGTAGGATATAATGGCTTGTTCAGGGCACGGAACTCGGACTTTAGATACACACAGAAAACAAAACACGTGACTAGTTTGTTGTTTTTTGTATTATAATTTATTAACATTTTTGTACATCCGATAACAACGATATAACAGTTCTGTCTCAAAGCGTCACACAGGAAACCTAGGGGGTCCTGGGGTCAAGTTCAAAGGTCACAACAGACAAACAAAAACAGTTAGATGGGTATTTCAATCAAAAGATAGTACCATGCATAGATTTAAGGATATCCAATGTAAATGCATGGTTTTACAATGATTACGTTTTATCTATGTAAATGCCCAGAGTCATTTGTACATTATTGTTTGAATTTGTAAGATTTAATTTTGGTTCAAATACCATCAAACTTGTTTTTGTTCTACTAATAAACAAAACACTGGGTCAATGTTGAATTCGAGCTAAAACCACGACACCAACACAACTGTTCGTGTAAGAACCAAACGTGTCGGCATCGCAACACTGACGTCATTTATGACATCGGTTATGAGATGACGTCATCTTTACGCTTTTCTTAAATTTGTTTTCCTGTTTTAACAGGCCTAAGAAGAATAAAGTAGAGAAAGTTAATGAAAAGAAATTGGGGAAGATATAGCACTATTAGGGTAACCGTAGACGGTCGACAGATTCCAACTTGGAACTAAGAAAAATACAAATATTTCATTTGAATAGGGAGTAATAAACAAGAAATGATTTATTCAGGTCTATGTTACACCGGTTGTGTTTATTATGGTTCAAATGAAAAAATAACTAATGGATCCCTCTGTTATTTAGAAGGATTTGTCGCTTATCATCATAAAAAGTCATCGATCAAATATTTATATATTTCATTGTTCATTGCTGTTGTCGTTTTATATAAAGTAACCACTATTTTGTATAAATTTCAGAAATATGTTATGTAGTATTCTGAGAATACGAATAGGGGATGTTGTTTTGGCCTTATTTCCCATTGACGATTTCGAAAACTCAAAAGTCTTTTGGCGCCGAAATTGTTATTCTGACGTCAGATAATAGTTATTGACTCCATGTTGCTTCAGTTCAAGAAAATAGTTTGTATTCAAATGATTCTAAAATCTACTACACTTTTAGGTGTGTTATTTTGTAAAAGCAAGTTTCTACAGCAAAATATTTTCATAAAGTCGATCTTTATTTCATTGCGATAGCATCTAAAGAAACATAAAAAGCCAATCATAACACTCTCCTGTGATTCTTTTGGATTTTACACTTTTCCGTTATACTTTCGGGTTTTCGAAATCGTCAATTTAACGTTTTTGATAAAAATGAGTACAACCATTATGATGCGGGCATTTCGGCACTACAATATACGGGGAGGACATGTTAGTCATGCACGGTACACGTTTTGGATTTAATGTTTAAATGGGAAGAGCTCACAAGAGTTCTCCTTTCTCTTTGTAATCAAACTCATCATCGGACTATTCTTGTGATATAATACGAAATTTACAAAAACAAAACTTTTCATCCACATTTATCTGCAGGGTATTGCCACACAAATGCTTCAGTTTTAGCTTTTAATAGAGACCGTCGGTTGGATTAGGTCAACTTTATATTTTTTAAAAGACAACTAAATTTTATTTTGATATCTTTGGAAAATATAATGATACTGACCGATTCAAAAATATCAAATTAAACTTTAATCAGCTTTGATATTATATTTTTTACGTCAAGCACCGAACTAGAACATTTGTGTAGCGATAACCGGAACCTAACACTCGAGCACTCAGACATGCGCAATGACGATATGAATAAATATAAATAATATCGATAACAATAACCTATTTACAAGCATTACTACGGTAACCGTACAACAATATTCAGTCCATACACTAGACACTAGTATCAAAGACCACATTCTCAGTTATATACATATCAATTTTCGTAGAAGAAATACCAAATTAATTTTGAATATCACTCGCACATATTCAAAAAAGACTTCTCTGAACGTACAAGCATTTCATTTTTACCCATTCACTGGAGGTAATGTTTCAGTGCAACGTCAGTGTTGTTTTTTTGGCAGTGGCTTGAATATTCAGAGAAATTCCTTTCAAAAGTAAGTTAATATACTTTCATTCTAATCAACCATTCATGTGACGGGACAGAAGTTCCCGTATGTATGGATACCCCATACAGTTGTATACAACGCACAAGGCTGTCGGGTAGTATCTTCCAAATGTGTTAGTCCTAACAATTTCTAATTAATAATGCACAATTAAATCGTGCACCGTTTTCATATGTCACATAGCGATGTCCCGTCGATATCGTATCGGGTTTCTCGTTCAATATACTTTATTATTATTATATATATAGCGCTGATGAAATCGATACAACTTGTCGTATAGGTCGATTGACACGTGACCGATCACGTGTTATTATGCTGTGTATATGTTAGTACATACCCTGGTTACACGAGATATTCGCTGACAGGTATTGGGTACAATAGGGTATGCACTGATGATGATAAGACTTACATACAGTGCCGTCATGTTCTGCTCCAGAAGCACGGGAAACTATCGTAGAAAAAATAAGACATTCGAGATTCGATAACGATGAATAATAAAAAATGCATTTATGTTATACTTTTGACAGAAAACGTTATAGAAAATGTTATCATACACCTCATATCCCTTAATATTACGACAATGCGATATTGTATATAATACATTCGGTTGATAATACGGTTTTAAATGAGTTGGTCATCACAATCTGCTCTCCCTATATCCGTTAGTTCTGCGCATGCACACATATGATGACGAATAACACACGTGACCTATGTGATATACCGATATACGGCGTACACAACTGACTATATGCTGAACAGTTTACACTACAGAGGAATAAGTATTAGATACATAATAGCACGGACCCTAACGCAACTTCCACGTGAGTTGACTTCGAAATCGTGGCATATTAACGTCCAATAACATTTTGTGTAGTTCTAGGCACTGTATCAACTGGGTTGCAGTTCCTTCCTTTGATACCAACAGTGGGAGTGTCTGTGTTCTAAAACACACCTGTATAACGCATCAATCGTGACGTTTCTCATTATACTCCTGTGTACAGTCCAGCTTGACACGCATCAGGTAACAGTGCTTCAGCACACCTGTGTACAGTACCTGTACAATGTGCCTCTGCTTTCAAGTCTTAGTACTTATAGGATAATCCGCTTTATATAGCACCGATTCACATCACTATCCTCCGTACATGTTATCCCACTGTGAGTATCGCACTGTCATATTCCCGAGTGAATTGTCTGGTTCGATGGCTTCTACCGTGTATGGTAGACGCGTGTCCATTGAACCGTCACGCTGAACAGAGCAGGCGTGGCCCGTGAAGTCGCCATCATCTTGGTTGATCCTTGTCAGCAAGAACATCATCCTTTGTCTAGATGGCGTTTGGTTCTCGTCACTTTCGTGTCGGTATAAACCAAACAGAATAAATTACAATCTCTCAGAAAACACTAGCACATGCGAAGTGCAATGGTTGATGGTCACATTCGAAATAAGCAGCCAACTATATACGCCAGGTTTCAGTTGTTTTGTATCCATAATAAGTGTTACGATGTTGTTGATAATACCCTTGATGTAATGCATAAAAGGCAAACATACATCGAATACTGATATTCATGTTTCCCATAATGCAGTTGACAATATATTTGCACGTGAAGTTGGATAAACCTCCCGTTCTAACATATGGCCGTGCTATATATTCCGTTGGCCTGTAAAACACGTGTATATCTGAAAGTTGCTTCTATTCAGATGACTGGCAGTATTTGTTTTTAAATATTCGTCTTTTCTCGAAATCAGAAGCATGTTTATCTTCTGTTAAAAGAAATATCACAATGAGTTTAAACACGGTAATATGATTCCTAATGGAACAGTTTCCATGTTTATGACATTATTTTTGGTAGTTATGTTGGAGTATTAAGCGGATCACGCATAGACCATCACCTCACATAATACAGCACTGAAGAGTCTGCTCCAACTATTGGAGGCACCCCACGCCTCTACCAACACGTACCGACCGTCCTGGGGGCGCACGCATTGTACATGGATTTTCTGAGAGAATAACGCTCCATTGATTTTGGACACATATCCGCACATATTTCCAGAAACACTCGAGTCATCTTCTCCTTTGGATTTGTCATCCACGTAAATGATAAGCCGATCCAAGTTGTTCATCATTTCATCCTTATACGGCGTACCACCTTCAGCTGGAATAGAGAATAGTTCACTACAGAATAGTGTTATATCATGAACGGATGAAAATGACATACAGTGTTTGCAATAACCCAGAAAAAAAATGAAAAATGTATATTCTTAACAGGTAAGATGTTATGAAACTCAGTTGTTTACAAAAGAAATATTATCAAAATTGCACAACTTATTATAGGTATTAATTATACTGTATTTATACATTTGAACCTATTAACATCTAAACTTTTGCTATCAGAACGCTGTTATTTAGGAATATTTTAATATCTTATTAATCCCGCCAAGAGTTATTCAGGTTTGTTCCAGAAAGAACTTTTTCTTTGCCAATGGAAGATTGCTTTGATGCTTACTTGACTCCACGGCGGCTGGTTCAGCAGGTACGGGTACGCCATCCTGCCATGTGTAAATCACTACACCGGAGATAGGGCTAATTTTGCCTATGTCCACTGTCCAGATCGGGTTGTCGCCGTACAGATTATCGAGGATCGTGCAGCTAGAAAGACTCACATCTATCCTACCATCGACAGCCCTCGACGCATGCCCATGAACGATCCTGTTCCGGATATGACGTTTGTAATGACGTTTGCTGTTAATCCAAGCCTCTTTCTTGTATGCCAGGTTTTCAACTACAATGAGGTGAACCATAATAATATATAATAATAATAATAATTCGAGGTTCTTATATACCACTTTATCACAACCTTGTTCGCAGGTTCTCAAAGCGGTTGACAATTTATTATCCGTGGTTATACTTATGATATTATCAGTCAGTTTATTCTACTTTATAAGGTATTAAAAGACTTTGTTTAGCTATGCATATAGACTCTACGACTGATATACTGTACGTTTTATATGTATGTCTACTCTCCGATGTGTCTTATACAAGGAATGAAATAATACGAATCTGAATCGGACTAATTTGTGGGGGAGGATCCAGCATAACAAGAAAGAGGTGTCGTAGGCCCGCCGAGTGTTAGCACAAACCACAAGCCTGTATATGTTGCTGCATACCATATCAGGTGTTTGGACGACTTATTTATCATTAGCCTTGCAGTAGCATTTAATGATGTTAAAATAACAAAAAAGACATATATGTGAGAATTTGATTTGAAGGATTATCTAAGGTGTCTTGACACTGATGAATCATTACTTACCACACGGTGTATCCTCGTTCACTCTCATGAAGGCATCACCACAGCCGCCTGTAGGACACAAACGATAACACGGCTAAGTCACATGGTCTGGTGTATTAAAGTGCTTTACAAGAAATGTGAAGTAAACGCCAATCTAGTGCCGAGAAGTTTAACACTCTCACTCGAGTTTATAAATCTAGGTTAATTACATCTTAGACACTTATTTATGTAACAGACAAAAGATTAAACTAGAAACAAAACGACTGTTACAATACAGACGCCTACTGTTATGGTTCCCTAGGGTATCTTCCAAAGAATAGACTATGTATCCATTTGACCTTCCGAACTCTGGCCAATACATTCTCAAATATCTCCTTGATTTATACGAAAAGGTCATTCCCAGGGCAATGAAAGTCTACATTACTGATAACTGTAACAAAACAAAACCTATCTGTTTAATGTGACGGGGTATACAGAACAAAGTAAACGATAAACAAGAGTTAGACACTATAGGGGGAATGCAAATCACTTTAGGATTATTTACGCTTGAGTTGTCTGTATAAATGTGTCCTAAGTAAACAGTAATCCCCTTACATATTTTGCGGACAGTCCTGGTCATCACCTATATTACACAGTCGACTACCTACACCTGGCCTGAACTCAGTGAATGTACGTACCTGTATGAGGACATCCATACAACCCGACACGCATGCTTATCTTTCCATGCCATTCCAGAGGGTGGAAACGGATGTGGCGAGCGACGAACGGAGAGTTGATATAATGAACTCTTTCTGTATTTTTATCGCTGTTGCCACCGAAAAGCTGAAATACCATCGAAATCATGGCAATTAGTGGGTGTTAATTAAATGGGCTATGAGTGCACTGGTGCTGACATCCTAATCCTATTGTGCGAATTGTGTCGGTGCATTCTACTTCCGGTGTCTCCATGCGTTCTTCCGGAAGTGTAGTAGAATCATGCTCCGGGATTCGAAACAGTTAACAAACGCACGTGCAATGAACGTTGCAAAACAAGAAATCAGGTGTACTACTTGTAAGGCAAATATCTTACCATGTGGTGGGGATCGATTTCTAATGGTCAGACATAATAAAGAATGGGGGATTTACCTGCACATGCATTTGATACCAAAGTCATCGTGTTAGAATTAATTCATATTAATATAGTTAGAGGTCAGAGAAGGCTTGACAGAATATTCCAATTAGTATAAATGATTGGGATAGGGTTACTGGTAGCGGTAAGTTGACATGCAATGTTAGGTCAGTGGACATGCACGCATGCAATGTGATATGAATGTTATTTCCGGGCACGGCAGTCGTCCGAGCGACCAATCGTAAGTGTCGGTCAAACAATACTTCATTGACCATTTTTAAGGAGTGCACGTGACAAGCTAGCTTGCAGATTGTGATGTGCTTCAAATTCAAATTTCAACAATATGTTGTGTAATAATATTCCATGCGTACAATTTTAAATTGTTCACTATATCTAAAGGTCAAACCGATAGTAAATCTCAATTTTAAAGCATGATTTGGAAGATGGGTAATCTATAAAATGACAATCCAACTACATTGTCTTATTTCCACTAGAATAGCTGCTGAGAAGCTGTTTTCATTAAATATTTTCAAACATAAGTTAATTCATTAAAAAATACATTTGTTGAACAATGAGACCAGGCTGCTTCATACCGTTAGCTACAGATGTCTAAGATATGACGATCATTTCTTCCTCATTACTAGTCTGACGGTAGCAACTGTGACATTGCATACCATTACCAAGAGGACATCATTCATCCATCATTTCACGTTCTGACCTATAATCTTTTCAAAATGTTAACCATTCACGGCTCTTATAACAAAATTCTATAACTATATAATCACTGTATAATTTTCAATTTCCAATGAACGAAACGACCCGGAATGAAATGATATGCAAATCCACAGTGTCACCAAAGGTCAGTTTGAACAGACAGCGCCACCTGTATGGGTTAGTTCTTACCAGGCCATCTTCTGTATATATGTCAGGTATTAATATCGGACGAGACGAGTTAATCCCTGTTTTCCATAACCACGGATTCTGAGGCTAAAAAACGAAGATGTCAGTTGAGCATTTATAGAAATTCCAAAAAGAAGGGAAATACCATCCCATCAAATCACCCATCTAATACAATGATACATAACGACTTTTCCATTTGGGTTCCACCGCCTCGGAGGGAAGGCATTATGAACTAGCATGGTTGTTAAACTGCAATTAAGGTTAAAGTATTTCATTGGTAGTTAAGTTGTTACGTGTGATGTGACATGATAGCGACAATTTGGATCTTGTAACTTAAGCAAAGCACACATAAAACGTAATTAATAATAATTCCGTATTTGGCAAATTAAATTATACAAAGCAACAGTTTGGACAAAATTGTTAGAAATTAAATAAACAATATACAAATATCATAAGAACAATAACAACAAATAATAATCTGCTTTTGTCATTATTAGTTATATATTAGAGGTCATTGTTTTAGGTGGTAATAATGAAAGCTGGTGTTACAATGATATTTGACGAGCTGAGAAAAGCGTATTAAAGTAAGAATGAAATTTCTGGTGGAATGTGATGGGTATGATTATCGTATGAGGAGGCAATGGAGTTACTGAAAAGTATGAAGATGATATCAATGCATTTGTCTAAACGTACCTACACTATTCTTATACACACAGAAGGTAACAACCAGTACTGGCTACAGGAAATCTAGTTCCCAGTATAGCTCACAGGCTACAGTCAATGGTTTTAATCATTACTTTAGGATCACACCTACTTCAAAGATTTACTACGTTACCAGGCTAAACACTATTGGTTCTAGTAGAACTAACACACAGCTCTTATAATTGTAAACTAGTCATGTCTGTAGGGAAAATAACTTCATATGTTTTATGATTCCATATTTCTAAAACTAGGGTAGAACCCTGTGAAATTGTATCGTACAATGGAACCGTGTGTAATACTACATTACGATGGAATCGTGTGTGATTGTGGATTTTGTTAACAGGTTATTTAAACAAAGACAATTATATGTTAATGAGAGTTTATCAATAAACAACTGCACTTTCATTTCTCATTGTTAATCTGTAATACATAATGCCCGTGTGGCTGATTCTGTTACAGATACACAGAGTGTTACAGGTAAACCGATACAGTACAGTGTTAGATGTGAACGTTAATTGATAATAAATATACGTCGATCAAAATACATGTGCTCTTCAAAATATATCCGGGCCATATTGCTGGTTTTTGTTTTAGATCACGTGGCAGTGTTCGTCACGTGTCCGTTTTCCATAGATTCAGTGCACGTGATAAGAAGATATTAAGTGACGATTACGTGACAATCGTGTGGTAACAAATGCGACAATTTGCGACAGGTGTTGGATTATATGGACATACTGTCATAATGACCCCCCTCGTTATGACTCCTGGTTTTCATTAACAGTTTAAGGACGAAATGGAACGACATGAAGTAACATGATCATGTTGAAGTGACAGAGAGTCAAATTACATAGTAATATTTTCAACAAAGTATTTATACATATAATACATCATAATGTGGTTCTGTACTCAATGATGACAGTAGAACCAACGAAAAGTTGTAATAATGAGATAATAAGACGGATAATTCATTTTCATGGACTAATATAAAAAGTATTGAATTGATTCGATTCTTTGACATAATGTGAAGAGCATGGTAATATCTTTACATGAAATGATTTCTCTTAAACGAAGCTGTACTGTAAACGACAAGATAAGACGTTTTTGCTAAATAGATGAATCAAAGAAATGATCAATAATTTGAGTATGACACAAAAAGTGATAACATGATGGAGTACTATACATGAAGTGATGACATAGTACACATACCCGAGGCTCCGTGTGCTGTGGGTCTTTGTACTCGTACCAAAACAGGGTGTCGTTGCTGTAGGATATCTTGTACCGAGTGACCCAGTGCTGTTTCTTACTGTCCGCTCGTCCTTTGGTAATGATACCAGTGATGAGGGTGGGAGGACCAACATCTACTTGTAGCCACTCGTTAGCTACAACAGAAAACCATACTTATCATATACTCTCTTACTAGTATAGTTTCACACACGGCAGGTTAATTCTGTCTTTAATGGGATTTAAACAAGAAAATATAAGGATACATCAGATTTAATGGTATTCTCACTCTTTTGATAATGGATGCATCATATGTAACACACGATTCTAAAATTAGGGTTTCCACAAAGAATACTGATATTACGATATTAATTTACATTTTAATAGAAAATCTAGTTTTTATTCCGTCATTAATAAGAAGAGTCGTATAAAATCTGCCTTAAACATTAAACATGTCTTTTATTCACTTTTATCTAAGGATTACAAACGCACCTCCTGAATCAAAGGAAATGGTTGTTGATTATATAGGAGGGAGTATGATGGGGGATAACCTACATAGGACTTAATTGTGCAGGTGTGTAGTGAAAACGTAACAAGCTTTTAAAACGTTTGTTTTATCTTGAAGCTTATTTACGGCCTTGCTAATCCGTCTCTTGATATGTCTGCCTTTGTTTTCTGTGTGTGGTATTTAGTAGACATAACATATAACCTTACTTTTACTTTAATGTTAAAGTCTTCTTTACTCTGTTGTCGCTGGTCTAAATTAAAACATTCCCCATCCTATTGTCTATATTTGTATGGCAACTGAATGGTTGTGTATATTACACACAGCGCGCCTGTACCTAAATGCCCTCTACGTCTCTTGTGTGTATATTCATGCGCACACCTCTCCTTGGAAAACCCTCCCAATATGGTATTTCCTGTTAAACAATGGCATCTGTAGTAGTCGAGTAAAGTAGTTTTATAAAAACATTAACAAGGTTACAACATTCGTGACACAAGAAATGCCCTTCACACATCAATAGATATACTAGCAACGGAACGTTAACCAATTAGTGGCTCATTGTTGATGGGCACACTAGTTTCAATTACAGATCTGCGAACCAACACCATCTTGACATGTTGAGTTAGGCTGAGGACCAGTGTGTGTATTGTCTGGTGTAGGACAGAACCTTCTACCTGTGAAAATTACCACGCACACTGTATACAAAGTGAGAAAACAACGACATTCCTGAAAGACCTCATGCAAAAAACGCCGAGACCGGAGAGGAGATAATATGTATATTCTTTTTAGATGTCCAGCCATCACATGTCAATGCTCCATTGTCCGAGCTAACCAGATCACTGCTAGATGCTATGATACCCTATCGCTTCAAAAAAATAGTTCGCGTTCAATGGTTCATGAAATCATATTATTCTATAAAAACTGCACTGGGAGTAATTGTGTTGATCCCATACAATGCTCATTTACCATATACATGGCCGATAGGAGATTCAGCACGCTCTAGTCTTTCTACCTCACTCGACACGAGCTGACCAAATGCAACTTATATACGCTAAGACGCATTTTTTTAATAGGGCTGATACGACTTATTTAAGTACAACAATTTGCTAGGTGAATCGTGTTAATTAATATTCATGTATTTCTGTTAATAATAATCACCGTCAACAACATAGATATAACTTTCATATAAAGTGTTATACGACAGCATTATCTCAACCACTCGCATTACGTACACTTCCATGATAAACTCATTTCAAAATATGAACATATATAGAATTTGACATGTATTTTCATTCTTTTGACTTCTATTACTAATGATGAATCCTAAATCGTTGAAATGGCCAAATGATACAGTCATTAGCTAACGATGTTTGGTTTTCTGCTTCGACTTGCTAAATGTTTTAGTTCGTGCTTTCTTATTTTGTAATTCTCATGATAATTGTCCTAAAATAAATTCGTGTATGAAGCTACCTTGATATGGATACCTTGAGCCAGTTATTACACCTACTGTGTTTACTAAAGGTCTTCAATACGAAAGTTGATATTTATTAAAACTTACTGCTACTGTGCCTCGCGCACCAGCCCTTGTTACTGAGAACGGTTCCGTCTTCTGGCTGACACGAGCTCTTCCGGCGTTGTTTCCCGGATGAGGAAGCTGTGATCCGGCCGTACGGCGGAAGGCCTATATATTCTTTACACACTGCCAAGCAAAATAAAAAAGTGTTTGTTACTAGCCCTGTCCAATGTTATGTATTACAGTGGCAGCCATATACACAATAATCTATTATAATGGAATTATTAAACGTTTATAATATGTTAGAATTTTAAATACACAGTCGTCACGAAATGTTCCTTTTTTCATAACATTTTGCAGCTGGCTGGCATATTATGAATTCATTATTTTAATTTCACACGTTTTCATATAAATGCAGAAATACTACAAAACACGTTTATGCGGATCCATATGCAGATAATTACATAAATGATATACATATAATTGAAGAAAACGACTCACATTGACAGCCCTGAACCTCCACGCGCATGCTCGGATGTTTGTGCCAGGCCACTGTGTGAAACTTGACGTATCGAGCGAGGATTGGTCGGTCCAGGTACACGTGCTTTACAGAGTAGGCATCTGTGTTGCCCTCCAACACCTGTAATAGTATTTGTATTTATATATTCTTAATGGTATAATATATGTAAACTTAATTATGTAACGTAACCGAAATTCATGATTTAACACTACATAATTAATTAAGAGTCCCTTCTAGTCTTCGGGAATTGTACAATGCATCAGAACTCTGGATAAAACAAAACGCATAAGGAAGACCTGATATATTTACACAAATTATAGCCTTTATCTATCTTGCGACACGGTGGGATATTGCTGTCATTCTAGTTATTTTACGCGTGCGTAGAACAGTCGGATCGTGTCTTACCATCAAATACTTATACTGTCGCCATGGAGACTTACCCTATGGTTGCCGTATTGGTCAGTGACGTACTCCTCGTTATAGTCGTCCATACTGTAGGACACCTTAAATGTCGTCACCCACTCCTTGCCGTCACCTCGACCCTGGATCACCACACCCGTTACCTGTAACACGACAAAGAGAACATAATAAGAAAAATAGATCACAACAAACATAGTAAATAATATCTAGGACAAGCCGTTCCTCCAGAGTATCTGGATTTGCTTCCGATTTTTTGTGGAGATTTATGAATTTTTTCCCCCCATTCCATTTATACATTTCTCAGTTCCCGTCGTTTGCATTTTTGTATGAAGATAAGTTTTTGTCTTATATATTAAATCTGTTGTATATGTAATTACACATCACTTCTTCCAGTGAGGGAGAAATGTCACATGGAGGCGGTTTTCATAGTCAACTGTTGTGAAAATGCTTCTTTAATTGGACTAAAAAATACTGCCTTTTGGACTACATTTTTATTAGTGCCCTTGTGCATATAATACAGAGTGTTTTCTTTTCTATTTTGCTTCTTAAAATCTTGCAAAACGATCAGATTATACTTGGTTATTTAATAATTAAATCCAGGACAGTGTCTGTATGTAGACAGTATTGTAATTTTTATACGCTGTTATAGTCTTTACGTAAAAGTCATATTACATCATGTATGTGATCAGTTTGATTAAATTCTGTACCTCATGTTACCGACACTAAAATAACTAATTCATGAATACTGTTTACCACGCAATGCTTATTAATTCAAACTGAACTATTGTTAAAATTATCTTATTGAAATGAATATACTTTTATAAGTTAAACCCCTGACGAATTAACATTTTAGAGGCATCCAGTTTTGTAACTAAGCTCCCCTTCTCTTACACATTACTGTACTTCAGTTGACGTCTTTGTTGTGATTGGTCCAAATCTCTGATATATTAAGGTGTTTTTTTTTATAGAATGTTACCTTTGCTCATATTTCATTCTTCAGTAACGAAACTTGAGGCATTTGTTAATTAAGGTGCTTTCGTGTCAGTAAATGACACAAGTAGCCGTATAATAATTTACACAGTTCAGACACTGAATATGTTTAATGCATTAAAAAAAACAATAGTGATGCAGAGATCTTTTTTCTTTTTTCTGATTGACTTTTATTTTGATTATAAAATAATGTGAGATAATGTTGAAATTTTAGTAAAGTATGACAAAAACGTTATATATCTATATCTGAGCAGACATTCCTCTGTGTATACATCTGGAAACATATGCTATTATAGCCCAGCTTGATAGTAACTCCCCGACAACTGGACAGGTAAAAACAACACAGGTGAGTACACAAGATACTAAAAGAGATTGAACGATAAATTCCAATATTCCAATTATTTTAGATACCCTTAAATATTTAACTGGATAATAAAATAATGCTCTAGACTGATTTTGTATAACATATAACGGAAAACACATTAAGAGTATATCCCCTACACAGAATTATCAGATAGGGATTCAGTTCATTAAAAGACATGGGGTGTATATCATCGTTATACTGTGTAAGGTTTAATTATGATATGTCCATTGTCTGTACCCCGGCGAACACGTCAGAAAAAGCATCTGAGCGAGGATAAATTATCTCCATTGTAGAGCCATCCTTTCAGAGCTGCACTGCTTGTGGAGTCCCCAGTAATCTGAAGTCAGATCTAGGTGGGACACGACATCAGTGTATGTCTTAAAGGTATTCCGTGACATTTAAGTCTACCTTAGAGTCACTTGGTCTACTGATTATATCAGATTCCTAAACACGCGTTCAGTTTTTGTCATTGGGAAAATCCATGTTAAACAATCTGTACTGTATATGATAGTTATTCGTATGTTTTCTGACCTATAATAATCGATTACGCATTCGGTCCCCAGGAATGTTCTTCACATTTATTCTGTCGCTTTTGTCTTCTTTTTTTTTTTGGTGTATCTGTGCCGACCCTGATCATCCCTGTCATAATCTCAGCCCTGTTTTACCATTGCCTTTGTGCTTTCTTGCATTAAAGAACACGGAAAGATCCTCATTTCTTACACGACACCGAGTAATTTTTCAGGAACCTGAGACGTTAAAGTGTCTGAGTTAATCTCTATTTCACTTGTCAAATGTTTAAATTGTAATTTTCAAAATATCTAAATGCATCGACCAGACCCCGATGTTTACACAAAGACGATGATTGAATTGAGTTTTTACTTGTCTTTTAAATCCCAATTTATCCGCAAACATCATAATGATTACATCAGTAGAAGTTCTGTCAAAAATCATTACACCTGTCAAAAATGACGACTCCTATATTTTTTGTTTTTAAGAGGTAATACCAATGACTGACATATACATTTTTCACTTGTAATCCTTACAGATAAGTGGGACGTTAAACACGTCAGCATTGTGGTTGTACTGCTAGGCAAATAACGGGAAATCTCGCCATTTATCTGTGTGTTCTATGCTTAAATATCATTACCTATGCTGATCATGGCTGGCGCTACCATTTATAAAGAGGAAAACATTTTTCAAATTAATATGATATTAGACGTGCGATAACTACTCTGTAGTATAAATAGGATCTCTTTATCAACGCCTAACCGCCTTTTTGTCTATACCACTGATCAGCCACCGGGAAGAATCATTCCTAACAAGGTAATATACCGCCAAAAATATGTTGCTATCTTGCACGTGCAATAAATCATACGTTAGTAACGATCTTGTTTGTGTAAATAACACGACAGATACGATGCGTTTTTCAGGTGTGGGAGTATAGATAACACGTAAATAGAAACAACTGGACTGAAATACACGATAAAGTATTATCGGGTGATAGAACTATTCTAGGGTGAATTCTACTCGATAAACACGGCACGTGGGAGCATGCTTCGGCATGTATTACAATGATGTAATCAAACAAGTTTCTTTTGACAATTAAATAAATGTGATATCATCAATTATGTATTTTTGCCAGGTGATAATCACGTGAATATCCTCCGCTGGTCATGACTGCGTACCTGGGTAGTAACATTTCCCGATAATCATCCGTCTGATGAACAGACAATACATTATTCTCTACGTAAATACTCTTTGTTAAAAGAAATTATCTCTATTGTTAAAAGTTAGACGCAATTTCACACCTTAACTATTTCGCTCCTGGCTGTGACGGTCTAGCTCTTTGCTACTTTGTTAAAACCTAAGATAAATTATGCAGACATTTAAAGGATGATCGCGGAAAACATTGAGCGGACGTGGCTGCAGGGCAGATATGCCGGACAAATTCTGCCCGCTGACTTTGCGTCCTAATTTTTGTCTATCTTTTTTAAATATAAAAATCCTAGTAATCCGACCCACAGAGTATTGAATTTTCCGCGGAGACGAGGAATGGTATTTTAGTTTTTGTCCAGACTGTCGTTTATTTAAAGATAAATCAACAAGATAACAAACTAGTTGTTTATAAACCGCGCTATTCCTAATTTGAATAATCAGCGGTTTGGTTGGACACGTGATGTACATCTGCGTCGTAAACTCATACCTAATTTGCATTTTTATGACCTTACTTTTTTCTCCTTTATTTTACCGTTGGTTTTATTACAGAAGTTATGCAATGCCAATAAAATCTACTTTATCATTATATTCTACATTGAAACCTCATAATTACGAAGCCCGACAATCGAGCTTACATATATATGCTAGTGTTATTAATACGATGTATCGACTGCTCCGTATACAGTCACAGTCCGAAAATCTGAAAAGTTATTTAAAAAAAACAAAAACCCGTTTGGTAAAGTAGTTTTTCCTTTTTGCTTTTTAGAAAAGTTAAACATTCGAAAAATAGTAGTGTTTTGAATGTGAAATATTTGATAATAAATGTCCATTGTTACAGACAGAAATATTAGGTATGCCTTCATCACATAAAACCACTAAATATGTAAGAGGTAGAGATATTTACACCTCTGTAAAGGGTTAATAGGAATTAACTATTTGCCTGTTATCATGAGGATTCACAAATGACGCAAAGAATTACCCTACGTTTACGCTCAGACCTGGCAGAGGACCAAAGACGCGATTGCAGTTTAAGAGCTGCCACGTTCGTTTCATCAACACTACATGATCCTCAAACAAACGAAAGTATAGGAGTATCAACACTAATTGGAGATTTCGGCAACAAACGTTCACGAAAGCTGGGTTATTTCACTTAAAAACGTGCTCCCTTATTGTATGTAGCATACCAGGTTTATGGGTATCACCTTGTGGACAATGAGGGGATTAGTTACTTTGATACAGTATCATTGATACGTTGGACTATTTTTGGGAGACGTTTTATTTTAGATCTAAGTCTGTCACACAACAGTGTACATTTTTTTTGTATATATTTGGTTTTGTAAAATATGCTGACGTTTTCAGATACACAACCATGTTTGATAAAATAAATGATATGGATGTAAAGCAAGATCGTATAGGCTTGTTAATAGCTTCAACACAGCAATGACAAATCGTATAGAAATCGACCACTAAGGATTTGTGGTTAGGAATCAACAAAAGATTGAATAATACCAAAGTTTCTTTGATCAAAGTGAGTTGTGAGCTTTGTACTTACCCGAGCAGCTACTCCAAGGTCGATTTTAAGCCACTCGGACGAGGATTTGTATTTTGCGCACCAACCGTATTTATTTGGAAGGTAAACACGTGCATATTTGACGTCGCATTTTCTGTCCCATGACTTAGGATACGTCGAGGACGCCGTTATCTGCCAGTCTTTGATGTTACCAGTTATCATACCAAGGGGACCGATATTGGTACATACTACAAAATAAAAGGTAGATTGTGCAGAACAATGTTGCCATTAAACTAACGACTCCTTGTTAATAATTATTTTCTTATCATTTACGACATTTTTTGTTTCCACTTTCGTTTCGACATTTACAACAGCCAGAAATCTTGCTGATTTACGATTAAATGAATAAAAAAGCTTCTATCTGTTGACGAAAAATCTCACGACACATCAACTCTTTATTAATATTTCACGTGATTTTAAATGACCTTATTTGAAATATCGTCTTTTATGAACTATTCATGTGGAAACTATAAGTTAACCTTCAGGCTAGAGACAAAGGGGCCTGTTGGTGGCACGTAAAACGGACACTGACCTCTGGTACTATTGTAACTGGTCATAGCTATGTATACCCGACAGCATTGTCCTGAATAGCCGTCTATAACTTATCTAGATGTGTCTTGTTATGCGTCAGACCAGGAACACATTGACGACTATCAATAACAGGTAATCAAGTGGAAATACAAAAAAAATACGACATTTAATGAAATATACCTTTTCTTGGACATGTATTGCGTATATATATATATCACCTAAGCTGGATACGGCAATATGAAGAAATGTTTTGTAAAGTCAATATAAGATAACAATCTCAATGCATAGACAAAAATACCTACGTGAATATGTAATTCTATTTAAAAGATGTATAGAGAATATAAAACCGAACTGGTAGCTTACGAAATAACATAAAAAATATTAAATTAATTTGTCATATTCCCTTTTAAGAATCAGCTTGTGCCCTAAGAACTAAGTGAATGTATAAAAACATGTGTTTCCACTAGAGTGAGGAATTAAAGGATGACTTTAACGTTATATCATCAGACTAAAAATTACACAGAAATATCATATAACCAGATAAAACATTATCGCTCATTAGCAAACGTGACTCACGAATTTCATTTTTCTGTTATCTTTTTACTGACTTATAGGTATAATGTGTATATATCATCCTCTACTTATATTATATTTTGACTTTACCTTATTAACTTACGAGACTCCATTAATAAACTTTCTTTGTAGAAAAATGACTATTATTAAACGGCCCCATTTATGAAACAACAAAACAATAATGAAAAAAATAAAATGTGTTTGTTCTATAAACACGTGTTTGGTTCACCTGCCAAATTAGTGACACTGGTTTCTCTGCATGTTCAATGTACATTTGGTCTGTATTGTGGAAATTTACTAGATATTAACATTCCTATTTTTGGTATGCACTGTGGATATTTACACGATACTGGCGATATTAACACGATATTTACATTCCTGTTTTTGGTATGCACTGTGGATATTTACACGATACTGGCAGTATTAACACGATATTTACATTCCTGTTTTTGGTATATACTGTGGATATTAACACGACATTAACATTTCTGTTTTTAGTATGTTCAGTGGATATTCACAAGACATTTACACATTTGTTTTTGGTATGTACTGTGGATATTTACACGACATTTACTTTTTTATATATTTTGGTATGCACTGTGGATATTTTAACGATACTGGCGATATTTACACGATATTAACATTCCTGTTTTTGGTATATACTGTGGAAATTTACACGATACTGTGGATATTTACACGACATTAACATTTCTGTTTTTGGTATGCACTGTGGATATTTACAAGACATTTACATTTCTGTTTTTGGTATGTACTGTCGATATTTACACGACATTTACTTTTTTTATTTTTTGGTATGTACTGTGGATATTTACCCGATATTACATTTTGTAACATTCCTTTTTTGGTATGTACTGTGGATATTTACACGACATTTACTTTTTTATATATTTTGGTATGCACTGTGGATATTTTAACGATACTGGCGATATTTACACGATATTAACATTCCTGTTTTTGGTATATACTGTGGAAATTTACACGATACTGTGGATATTTACACGACATTAACATTTCTGTTTTTGGTATGCACTGTGGATATTTACAAGACATTTACATTTCTGTTTTTGGTATGTACTGTCGATATTTACACGACATTTACTTTTTTTATTTTTTGGTATGTACTGTGGATATTTACACGACATTAACATTGCTGTTTTAGGTATGTTCTGTGATAAGTTACACGACATTAACATTCCTGTTTTTGGTATGTTCTGTGATAAGTTACACGACATTAACATTCCTGTTTTTGGTATGTTCTATGATAAGTTACACGACATTAACATTCCTGTTTTTGGTATGCTCTGTGGATAACTACACGATATTTACATTTTAGTTTTTAGTATGTACTTAACCGAGCTATATATATTTCTCACTAACTTTACCTAGTGTTCTTGTCATATGTATTAACATATTTTATATGTAATAATGAAGCTAGAATCGCTTACATAATAGGTTACAATACAACATAAATCGATTTATGGCATATTTATGTCAAATAGTAATACAATGAAATCATATACAATTGTCACGGGATTAGTGTGATGTGTTCATGCATATACAAAAGGTGCCAAGCTTTATAACACTGCTTCTATTACTAACGAGAAAACTGTTTCTATTGCTAAATTTTAAAGGTGCGATGGATTGTGCGTAGTATGATTATCTTTCTTATAATGAAATGTGACTTAGAAACCAAGGAAGACTTATACAGTTATAAAAAATTCTTGAAATACACGGAAAAGGGCTTTTGTCGTGTTTGCTTCATAGATATACTCAAATTAAGAAAACTTTATTTGTAACAAAGACCAGGTTTCTATATGGTGATAGTCTAATCTGTTTAGTGAGGATTCGCTCTCTGATAAAGGTCATCTCGTTCTGGGTTTTATCCAATGTAAATGTCAAGACGTTTTAATTTACCATTTGTGGCGCCCCCTGGGATTTAAGGTCGACGAATTAGTGGGTGTTGGAAGAAAAAGCAATCCTGCATTGTTGACTAAGAGATATGTTTTCTACTCTCACGATAGCTCTTCACATTACACAAACCAAACATTCCAGCACTATCTATTTACAATCAGTGTTTACAGTGGCTAGTCAATACATCAAATAGCTAAGCCTCGTTGTCCCTTCCTCTATAACATTTATTTTTGACCACTCGATATGAAACCCATCCATCGACTCCCAACAATGAATATGGATCGTCTCTGGCCCTGGGAAAGCTGACTGATTACACATACGTGATTCATTAAATATGATAACAGTATCTACTGGATTGTAGAGTATGATCGACCTCTATCATTGACCTCTATCACCTATAACTGACCAGTCCACTATCGGGCTATTGCACAACGACCAAGTGATATTGCACCCAGTCTAAACATGTTAATATATCATTAGGAGCAAGGATTAAATCTCAGGTACTATTTGAAATGTAATGAAATGATCTATATTTATCCTTGAGTCTAATTCGATGAATGAATGAATGGTATCCAGTCATACTTTTCTTCTTAATAATATTTCTCGTTTTTGATTTCAAAACCAACACTCCTATTTAATTTCCGACAGTTGTTTGTATGGTTTACTTATTTCTAATAAAGCCTTTGTGTAATTTCATAAGTTCTAACTTTCCAATTATCAAGAATTATTCATGGTTTTTCCTTTGGGATTGCAATGCCCTTCCTATAAACTGTTTTTGGATAATGCTGTACCTACATTTTGAAGAACCATTTCTTCTCATGAACTATAGAATAGGCTCATTTTCTATCTGAGTTTAATCTTTAATTGGCAATGCACTGTGCAGAAAAACTACCATATGTACTTTTCAATGAAATCCAATAAGTTAATTAAGTAATAATACAGTTAGCAAACGTTAGTTCATTTAATTCATTAAAGTTATAAGATGCGTCAATGGTTATTCATATCATTGGGTGTGTCTAGCAGTGTATTATTCCACAATATTTAAAAACTACCGAAATATTATATTAAACAGATCGAATTCTGTGGTAAAATCCCTAAGACAGATATTCATTGTATTTCGTAGCCCGTGCATGCAATACCTTCCTCATAAATCTTCTCGCGTGATTCTTCTGTGTATTGTTATATAAAGTGCAGCATTTAAAATTGACATAAGGTATTGAAATACTTAATTTACTACTGTCTTATATAGTGTATACACCGACAATAATGGGGTTTTGTAATATTTCATATTTCTTAACTTACAGTTTTTTATTTGATTGACATTAGAATGCTGTATCTCGCTCTGGCGTTATAATATTACAGAGACCATATCATCGCCTGGGTGGCCCTTTAACGAGAAACGCTACTATCCTCCACTCCGCTCAACGCTTACCTGAGCTGGAGTATACTACACATGCCCTGCATAGAAATGTTGCCATAGCATTTTAAGAAATAAAACCTGTGACAGTTAAGACTGTCGTGAAACTCTGACTAGATGTAGAATTTACACATAATTTAACTCCACCCAAATATCCGCTGTGTATATTTGCGAAGTGCATGTTGTACAATCGCGCAGGTCTGTTTACGCTCACAGCTGTATGTATTTACCCGTCTATCAGTAAATTGATTTTTAAATTTACGGCTTATATCTTGTTGTTTAAAGCTAAATATACCAGCATACTAGAGTCTCGTAAATTTGTTTTTATGAACGTGATGAAATAAAAATTGAATTTAAAAACTCAGCAAACCATTGAGCACTTGTAAGTAGTATATGAAGACAAGATCTCACAATCGTCGCGATTTTCTCTATTTATGATGCTTTACTCTTCAAATCAAAAAGTACCGACTTCAGTTCTATGTCTTTTCTAGACTTTGATAACAGACCGAATATGAAGGGGTTTTACCACATACACTTATTCAATTTTGCACCGTATACCTTTTAATTAAAAACTACATTACTTCCAGATTGTAAATGTTTATTTCCATTTTAACCAAAGAACTTTATTTTATGAAGTCCGTGTTTTCTTTAACTCCTCCTCGTTGGCTTTAAATATGTCCTAGTTCTTTAATCTAGGAATATCACATTACAGACAGACGGACCTGTTTTCAATTGGAAACTTTTTGCTATTTTTTTACTTGCTTAAATTTAGTGTTTGCAAGAGTGAATGTTTTTGTTCCGGGTTACGTACTTCTGCTCTTGTGCTGACTTAAAGTGAAAGCTTTAGAATTTTAATATTCCTAAAATGTGCTTCTAAATATAAATAAGAAAAGATTAATGTTTAGGCAAGCTTTTAATTGATAACGTCAAAAACTGATTTGAATGAATCCCGCTAATGTATTTGTCAACTACCTTGTTGAAAAGATTTTATTATTAGCCGCTCTTTGAATGAGCCACATGGAGGTGTCTGTAAAAGATATGTCTAATCCATGCAAATCCCCATATGTCGTCTGTACATGAAGAAATGTTTACTCAACAAATGTGAAAATAAATCTCCTAAGTTTAAACGAAATGTCTCGTTGAAGGCAATATTAAACGGCAGCAAAGCCACAGTGTATGGACTACCCAACTCTAACATTCTGAATAATATCTCATGAAAATAAATTTTAGAAATGAAAATATTGACCTATTTGATAACATATTTGAACGTGTTTCCATGTTCTTTCAGTGGCCGCGACCTTGTTTGTATAAAAGTATGCGTACATCGGCAGAGGAATCTAAATGTTTGGAATGAATTCATCTAGTATTCTACCAGGCTTCATACAATGAATATTTCACATGAATTGACATAAAAGAAATGCTAAGTTATATTCAGGAAAGCGTATTTGCAGTGAATGCATAGCGAATGTTTTGCACTGTTGCTTTTCGTGCAAGACAGCACAAGAATAAAGTTTATGGGAGTGAAGTAGTCCGTTTAAACGTGAGCAGCTTTTGATCACGTCAGTGTATCATATCAAACTATCATACTTGAGACGCATCCTTATAAAGTATCGAAACCCCGTCTCAATTGATGACTTTTATGTCTGTAGTTACCTTTTTAACCAACCATCCCAATTTCTTTAAAATTGTTTGTTAATTATGAACAGAACAACGAAAGAAATAGCCGAATCATTCTTTAAAATTGATCCTCCATTTTTTTCCCCTTTACATGCAGAAGGTTAAGATCATACCTACATGATCACTACTTGAGCGAATCCCAAGCATTCAAATCTACATCAAAATTGTTTTCTTTTGACTTGCCCTTACACGCGAATAATATAAAAGTGTTGACACATGTTGTGTAATGATTGTGATGACATTGACGATAGAAACGAAACTATCCAGCTAACGACCCCAGGATGGTGTTTATCACCGGACAGTTACCTCATGATAGGGGGGTCTACAGTCATAATATACCACTGATAACAAACCCCACCCTTCCCATTCAATAACACCTTTATCTAAGACAAAAGGTCCCCAAGTTCTCTTGTGTAAACATTGCGGCCTGCAAGTGTTGTTATCGCCTCTGATACCGCGCTATCATTTCTCTCTAATTATACATACTAAACGCTTCCCCTCAGACTCTTAAAGCGCTAAGATTCAGGATCAATTAAACATGGGGGACATATTTCTGTAGTGTATAGAACATGATAATGGCTATCAAATATAAAGGGTTTGTAAAACTCCGGAATTTACCACTAGGTTAGGATACAATTAAGGTATTACAAAGACAAACTGATGAACACCAAACATATATCATTTAGCAGTATATGTATTACTAAATATTACTATTATTACTAGTAATATTCCTATTACTAAATATTAGTATACATGAGTTTACGATAACAGTTTAGACAATTGAAGAATTGTGATAAGCTACATGACTACCCTAAAATGACGAGTCATAATGAGCATCGTTGGTGTTTACGTCTAAATCAGAACAAAGAAGATATGGAATGTTTATTTCTCTTGGGATTCTTTAGTAGCATCGCCAAAATCACGGATTGTATATTTTTATTTAACCTCATTGAAACATTTTGACTTGTAAACACTGATACTTTCGAAAATAAATCTACGGTATTAAACTGCTAGAGGTTTGCGAGACAAATATTAATAAAAATATCAGTAGAATATTAAGTAAGGAAGTTGTTGAAGAAAGCAAAACAAAGCACACATTTACTATACAATAAAGCCTACTCCTCATTCAATTATTGGATACTTAATCACCATACTTATAATATATAGTTATATATCATCTTTTATATAGTGTATCTAAATTCATGTAAAAAAAAGTTTTAAATTCTAATAAAAAATAAATAAAAAAAGTAAATAATTGGTCATAATTAATAACACCTGTAATAAACAAACACATGTATGATGAAGTACTTTTGTGATAAAATGATATCTAAATGTGAGGTTTATGTCAGAGAAATAAATCTATAAATCATTCGGAATTAATTAGCATTACGTGTAGCACAGGTATACGACACACCGATTTAGTGCCATCTATTACAGAAATGGAGTTCATAGGTTTTATTAAATGATTGATAGTATATAATAACCAACGTTGATGGATGAATTCGAAAGAAAAATGCGTTCAATACATTTCCTTCAAAACAATTCGTTCTGAACATGACGCTATCGTTGTGTGCTAAAGGGAAATATTAATAGAACGTCATTAAATATGCTATTCGGAAAAACAGAAATCAATTGAAAAGATTATCAAAATCGAATAAATAAAATCCAATGACGCAATTTACAAAGTGACGCCCACTTAATATTAATAACACGCGTTTTGATAGAGCATATTACATTGCAATCAATAGTCTTTGTGTGTAAATATATCTATTAGTAATCGAAATAGGCATGTAACTGTAAGTTGTACGAACGGAATGTGTTTTTAATGTACGAGGAATGGGAATGGAAAAAATAAAGTAGACAAAGGCACGTTCTAGTTACATGGGAGACATAACACAGTTCCGCAAGTAGAGGTATGTTTTTAATAGTTTACCAGAGCAGATTCGCGTGAAAGATCTCATAACGTGCTCTTGCATCGTCCCCGACATGATCGTCCACATTCCAACTTCATCAAATTACAACTCACTTGTGAAAAACAGTCTGGGCGACTTTCAAAATGCATTTGAGGCGATTTTACTCTCTAAAGATCTGTCATTTTAAAGTCTTATCTCTTTATTGCCAGACATTACATGTTGAGTTCAGAACAGATCAAACGTACAGAGGACATATAAGGTTCACTTCTTGAGACATTATGAGAGTTTTCGCCGACAGAGAATGTGACATTGCATTTTGGAGCGTTATGTGGTTTCAATACTCACCATTAGCTAACACCAGCCCGATCCCTAGGTAGACAAAAAGACACGTCTGCCACAGTCGACCCGCCATCTACAATGTAAACACTCCACTAATAATATCCAATATCGAAATACCACAAAAATTATTAAACTTCAGGCCTACTGTCGTGCGTCAGGCACCAAGTTGTTGATGGTTTCACATCAGGTTTGAATAAATTCCAACGTGTCACGAAAGAGTAAAATTTCTCTTTCTCGTTTTCAAGCGGGACCAAAAATACAGGTCTCACTTCTGCCAGCTGATATTTATTTAAAAATCGCACAAGTTATAAGAAATCCTCAGAAATATTTGTGATTTTAAATCCTGGTACGAAAGGTGAACACAGCAAACAAGCAACACCGTATGGTTATATACTGTACGTATACCGTATAATCCGAGGCGATACCTTCACACACAAAACCACAACTCAGAGATTTTCTCCCCTTTTTTTATAAAATAAAGACACGAAAAAACCCCGGTGATGTTTTCTTATTAATCCCCGAAAACGTTTCTTCTCATATTATAATCGATTTCACAAATATACACAGACTGAACGTAGTGTTAGGTTAAGTGGCCGAGGTAAATCCCAAACGCGTCTGTTCCTCTCGACGGTTTACTTTAACATTAGTGCTGATCAACAGAGACCGCCGCGAACACTGTACAGGTAGAGCGCGCGGTGGTATAGAGGAGTCGACGTAAAGGTAAGACACAGGTAAAACATACTATGTCTAACAGTTGGGACAGCTGGACTGTAAGCTGACTGCCTACCTTATAAATGCTTCATACTTTAAACATATGAAATAAATGTGGTACATAATGCGAGTTTGTGATTTTTGTACACAAAAAATGTGACTAAATTTTAAGACAAAACTTTTTCATTTAAGAATACGTCTAAATACAAAGATAAAGCAAAATTTTATATATTTTCATTGAATAATATGATTAGATATTAAAGTTAAGTAACACAAACATTCATTTACCAGATTCTTTACTGCAAGATTTAATCATCTCATTCTGATCGACAATAGCAAAAAGTGGAGAAATCTAAGAAGTTTAATGTGGATGTTGTTGTAAATCGATTTTTATAATTTGTGGAGAAAAGAATGACCTTTCCATTAAATCAAATTCCTCAACAGTGGCCTGCTAATAATGGCATTCTTTACTTTTCCCTAATTAAATACCATAATCAACCCCATTGTGTGATTTGTATTAAACAACACAGCGTGACAACAACACATCAAGAGTAATTATCGCTGTGACGTATTTCATAATCAAAATACTATGTTTTCACTTGTCTCTTACATGATAAAAAGTAATTCATGCAAATTCAATCAAATTAAAGTTTTAATTAGAATACTTAAATATCTTAATGAAGGCACCGGAGATATCCCTCAGTGCTGTGTACTTAATACACCGTAGCACTGCCCATCGTACCTCCCTACTTTACGTTGCACAACTGTGAGAAACGTGTCTCATTTACATACAGTTCTTATCTTAGTTGACTTATGATTACATTTTCCAACTAAATGACAATCTCACTGTAATTTCTTCACGTGCTAAAACGGTATTCAACATCTGGAATGATATTGTGGCTAGACTTGGTTTTCCAGTGAATTCCGTATTTAGTTGCTTTTTGTTGCTTTTTTTGTTGTTTTATTATTGGGTGATTTTTTTTACATTTGTTTTACATCATTTGGTGGCAATCTGGTATTTTTTTCAATTCTGTTTTGACGCCTTTTTGAACCCCCCTACCCTTTTTGTTTTATTATAATTCTATTGAGCCAACGGTTCCCCCTAAATACCTGTTGCAGACGATGAAACTATCAGCAGGATCTAATAATGATTCTTTTTCGATGATGTAATACTTTTAGACTTTTTATATAGTTGAAATCTTTGTTTTTTAATTCTGTTTATTAATACCATACTCCATCTGGTACATTTCACGCCTTGTGCCCCTCATTACATATGATGCTACTGAACGGGATTACTCTCCAGGCTCGTGTTTCCCAGAGGGGTGTACGTGGAAAGGACGGCGAAATCACGCTCTCACAGACGCTTTATTACTACACAAAATCATGGTGAATGGCGTGTTTATAATTAGCCAAGTTCCAAATACGGTAAGTGACTACAGTAAATGAATGCTAGGAATAATACAGTGAAATTCAAGATTAACAATAATAGTCAAGAGCTAAAACACTCCAGGATACATTTGGAACTCAGGCTGATACAATTAAACAATAAATGATACACTAAACAAAAACGGAACACGATAAAGCAACGACTTAGACACCAAACTAAACGGAACACGATAAACAACAACTTAGACACCAAACCAAAACGGAACATGATAAACAACAACTTAGACACCAAACCAAACGGAACACGATAAACAACGACTTAAACACCAAACCAAACGGAACACGATAAAACATCGACTTAGACACCAAACTAAACGGAACACAATAAACAACGACTTAGACATTTAACCAAACGGAACACGATAAAGCAACGACGTAGACACCAAACCAAACGGAACACGATAAACAACAACTTAGACACCAAACCAAACGGAACACGATAAACAAAAACTTAGACACCAAACCAAACGGAAAACGATAAAGCAACTACTTCGACACCAAACAAAACGGAACACGATAAACAACAACATAGACACCAAACCAAACGGAACACGATAAAACATCGCCTTAGACACCAAACTAAACGGAACACAATAAACACCGACTTAGACATTTAACCAAACGGAACACGATAAACAACGACTTAAACACCAAACCAAACGGAACACGATAAACAACAACTTAGACACCAATCAAAACGGAACACGATAAACAACGACTTAGACACCAAACCAAACGGAACACGATAAACAACAACTTAGACACCAAACCAACCGGAACACGAAAAACAACAACTTAGACACCAATCAAAAAGGAACACGATAAACAACGACTTAAACACCAAACCAAACGGAACACGAAAAAGCAACTACTTCGACACCAAACAAAACGGAACACGATAAACAACAAATGAGACACTAAACCAAAACGGAACACGATAAACAACAACTTAGACACCAAACCAAACGGAAGACGATAAAACAACGACTCAGACACCACCCAACCGAACGGAAATAAGTCATGAATCCCTAGAAAAACCGGAGACAAAACCAAGGACTTAAATTTCCTTCATAAGACCTGTCGGTAGTAGTAACATTACTGATTACCTATCACAATTATTGCACATTTGATACACATAAACACAATTAGAAAAGTATATAAAACAAGAGGATATTTCGAAAGAAACATTTTTTTAGATTCGTTATCAGAGTTAGAAATTTTACGTATTTAACATTGTTTAACGTCATATCAACAATCTATCTTAAACTTTTTCACTATTATTCTAATAAATAAAAGAGAAATATGCCAATCATCCTGAAGTGCTATCACTATATTGTGTAAATATCAACATGAATTAATTTATTTACCCCATGGGGAGTTCAGACTGAATGATCGTCCTTGATAATGACACTTTACTAGTTAAGGACGTAGGACAAAGCGCTGTGTACGGAATGGAGTGATTTACGGGACCTCTCCTACACAAAACCAGCTCTTATTTATCCATATGTCATCCATATTGACTACTGTTATAAAAATAGAAATCGTCCATAAACATTTGAAACATATTTTATATCAAAATAATTTAATCGATTTGAATTAAGATCTTTTTGACACTCAATTTGATTCTACATCTAAATGCATGTGTGATGTTGTGAATTCATGTAAAAGTCATACAAACTCGAAGATTCATAGACGCAATGTATGCATAATGATAATTCTATGCATACTATTGCTTAAGGTCAATACGTTTTTTTAGCAGTCTTTCCATACAAACATACCTGTGGTTTTATGTATAAACATGTTTCACGTTGAACACCACAGTAACACAGGTTACGTACACAGGTAAGATGGAACACCTGTCTGATGTATTCAGGTACACATAGTGACAGTATCCTAAACCAGGGCTAGGAAGGGTGGAGTTGGCGGGTTCTCAGCCACGCCCAAATCGTAGGACGCTCCGACCATCCTGGAGGATATGTTTCGAGGTTTAGGAGATTGAAACTAAATAGCCACACTGAACAAAGGCTAGAAGTGTTCGTTACAATAGGTTTTGGACACAGCTGATGTGTTGACGATCTGTGTAATTTTCAAACCCAATATTTAATATGTCTACCACACAAAGAGCGGGAACGGCTGCATTCCCGTGCTCAGAGGACCGTGTCACCTCGACACGGCGCTTCTCCGAGTCGACATGGCAGAGGTTCGCAAACTGATAGCATCAATGATTACGCTCGTTATTGGTGCAATACGCAAATTTATTCAGATTTTTCTTCAAACATCCTACTGATCTGTTTTCCAATTATTACCCAACGACTGCACATCTTACTTACGATGACAAAAATAATTATTTATGAATTAAATGAGATTACTGAATAATGAAAACACACTCGATATTTCCAATAATTCGTGTAAAATCAAATATATCTTGTTGTTTTATAAGCAGCCCCTACGTTTCAGCATCAAACTTTATTTTCCTCTTTAAAACAAGCCACAGAACGTCAAATTGTTCACAAACTGGCAGCAACTATTCAATTTAATTTGTCAACGAAACGAAACGAAATATTAACATGTATTATATAATAATCATGTTAATAATCTCAATTGGTCATCTCTTCAGAAAATTAATGAAAATACATGTTTAAAATGAACGCTATATTAGAACATCTATCTTCCTTTGGTATGCAGTTGTATCAACTTGATAAACAACTAGAATCAACAAATGTAAACAGAATACCCCTTTTTTACTTTTATATATATATATAGACACGACCAAAATCTATTAAAATATACATATGATTAAATTATCCTTGAAAAGGGAAAAATGTTTAAAGAACTAATTTTCTCGACATACAGTTGACATACAGTTTTTTTTTTAATTTTGTTAAGTCTGAGCAGAGCCAAACAAGACATAAACCACATTCCTAAACGTAGATGTAGGACACGATTCAACACACCAACACTGATTTGCATATATGGTGTAGAGCGACGATAAAATTATAAAACTTTTAAAGAATAACATTAGCCCTGCATACTGATGTACTAGTAGCACACAAGGCGTCCGTTTGTCCCACGGGCGTACTCGCACTCCCAGAACATACCATACTAGTGAAGTAAAACAGTTCAATGTTCGGTGTGTGGTATTTTACCAAGGGAAAACATATTTGAATTGAATGAAATTGAATTTAGGCAACATTGATTGGTCAACAGATATAAGGCTCGCATGACAAATTAACACACAACGATTAAATCGGGAACCAAAGCTGAAATAAACAGACACCATCAGAAACCGAAGGACCACCAAAAAAAAAGACAACACCATGAAACAAAGAAACACCAAAACAAAAGACAACATCATGAAACAAAGAAACACCAAAACAAAAGACAACACCATGAAACAAAGAAACACCAAAACAAAAGACAACACCATGAAACAAAGAAACACCAAAACAAGAGACAACATCATGAAACAAAGAAACACCAAAACAAAAGACAACACCATGAAACAAAGAAACA